TATTGCTATTGCTATTGCTATCTCTGCACCTGACCGGAACTGGATGGGTGGAAGCTGCCAGCATGGCAGTGGGGGATTGGACCATGTGATGGACTTGTGGGTGGGGGGGGGGCAGGAGGTTGAAATTTCAACTGGGTGGGAAAAACTGGGAAGCTTTCAGATTCGGGTTTCCCCAGATGTGCCCACATGGCTCTCTTAATAAATTGGAACTTTGAGCAATACTTTGCCTTGGATTCCGATTTACTTTTGGATGCTATTTAGAACCCTGACAGTCAGCTTCTTAAATCTGGATTTGTGAGGCAAGGTGGTAAGAAAAGGGATGGAGGTTTAAGACAGTGTTCACTTCCATGGCTCATTATGAGATGAGTGGCAAATATATTTAATTAATAACTAAACTAAAAAGCTGGCTGAGCCCCCACGTCTTGCTCTTGGGTGGATGGCTGGCATGAATTCATCTGGTTAATCGCCATCCTGATCCATTACCACACTTACAGGCACCCTTCCAGTCGCAGAAAACTTCAGCTTCTGTTTGGTGACCTTGCTGTCTGACGTGGCCTACAGGGATGCGTCTTTAAGAGAGCAGGTAAGACTGGTCACATGCCATTCAACGCCTTGACTTATGTTTTTTTTTTCCTTATTTAAAGTCCCAAAGGCGCTTTTTTCAAGAGACAAGTGGATTTCCTGGTTTTTTTTTTTCCCTTTGAAGACATTGAAGAATGCAAACGACCAGATGTCTGCAAGGAGTATAAATTCCATTATCCCCCCACCCACCCACCTTCAGTCAGAGCTGAAGAAGCTTTCTGGATGAGAAGTGAAACGTCTTCAAAGGAAAACCAGAAAGTCCAGTTGCCTCTTGAAAAAAAAGCACCTTTGGGAAAACCATAACCTGGATGACTGAGAATTTCCATAGACACAACTTGCTTAATGGCCACTCATTCAGTGCCGTTATCCAGTTAGAACAGATACTTATGACATGTCCTTGAAGTTCCGGCACCCGCTACAGTCACGTAATTGTGATTCATCACTCAGTAATTTCTGAGTGGTCCTAACATCCCACAATTTCCTGCTGGCTTCCCCTATGCAAACACAATGGGAAAGCTAGCGGGAAATCAGAAGTCACAGTCACCTGAGGTCTTTGCTTAATGATCAATGGTGATTTGCTTAACAATGGCAACTAAGGACTACCAGAACTGCCAACACTAACTGGTACACTCACACAAAGTTGCACTTTACAACTGCATTGCTTAGTGACAGACGTTCCGTCTACAATTATCATCAGTAAGTGAGAACAGTATCTCTGTCCTTGTTGCATTAGTCAAGTGGAGGACATTCATTCATTCATAAGGCGATAAGGACCAAATGATTACTGGTGAGTAAACTTCACCAGTAAACCTCCAACTTCAAATAGCTAAAATCTCTTTTTGCAAACATGTTTTCAACAATTAGCAATTGGGTGCTTAGAAACATAGAAGGAAATATGTTAGTTATAGCTCTGGCTTTATCTTTGTTTCACCCTTCTGACGCCTAACACTGTTACTTCGTTCTGTAATCTTACATTACTGTTAATATTTTGTTATTTTAGGCTATCCTCTGTTGTTAACAACCTGGAGTTAGAACCTGAAACGTGTTTACGTAATGTTAATTCTGCTCCCGGATTTTTATTTTTAATTGCCTCCCTTTGTTGTTACAGGTTTTGGAGCCAATTTTACAAGTGATGCAAGTTCTCTTGGGGATGTGTCAATCTCCACAGATCCAGGATAAAGGTATGTTTCTGATGTAATATTGCACCTTGTAACAAAAAATATTAAATTTTTCCACCACTGTTTTTTTTTTAAATTTAAATTTTAATTTTTAAAACAAAACAAAATCTAAAACATAAAACATAAAAACATCTTCCAGTTACATCCAGCATGGTTATGCATCCCCTCCATAGTCCTTGCTTACAATTTGTATACAATCTCTTATTATCAATCTAATATACATTATTATCATTGTTAATCATTTATTTGACTATAACTATTATTCCTTCATTTTATGCGAGATATTCTAAATTTTAAATCAATGTATATGATAACAGTTCATTACATCCTCCTAAATCCATCCAGTAGTAGTACATTTTTATATTATATTCTAAGTCTCTTCCACTCCCACCCCCCCGGTTTTCATTTGCAAATGACTAGTACAGATAGTCCTCAACGTACGGCCACAGTTGAGCCTCAAATTTCCATGGCTAAGCAAGACCATTGTTAAATGAGATAAATGACCCTGGGGACAGTTCAACTGTCATAGGTCCATTCCAGTTGCCAAGCACCTGAATATTGATCAGGTGATCTTGGGTATGCTGCGACAGCCATTAGTATCAGAAGCGGTCATAAGTCCCTTTTTTTGAATGTGCCATTGTCACTTCTAACGGCCATTAAACGAATGTACGTCAAGGATTATCTGAAGTTTTTGAGAGTCTGTTGTGACTTCATACAATCACTAAGTGATTGGTCATGTTGTGACCTACCAGCGGAGCTGACAGCAGATTCGGACATTGAGGAGGTTGGGGAGGAACCTGGGCCAGTCCTGGAGTCTGGGGAAGGCTCTGATGAGGGCTCTGTGTCGGAGGCAGAGAGGGGGCCAGGGCCGT